AAATAAAAAAGAATCTCGATTCTACAACAAAATGGCGGCCGGACCTCCAGCACTAGGGACACTTCCTCTTATTAAAAAGCAGCCTGTTGCCCTCTAGTGGTGGCTCTGTCTCTACACTGAAATAATAGGTCTTTGTCACCGTCTGGCCTCCGGTGGGTTTGTCAGCTGAACGTCACTGTAGAATAATAGTCATCATCATATTTACTTGAGCTCCCCTTTTACCACCTTCATGACCAGGCAATTATTTTTGCTATAGAGCCCAGCACATGCAACACTGTACCCAAATTAAATTTATATACATTTTTTTACACAAAAGGAGCTTTTGGTGGTTTTTGATCACCAATGGGATTTTTTTTTTTTTTTGCAATATAAACAAAAGAAGACAATTTTGGAAAAAAAAGATTTTTTTACTTTCTGCTATAAAACATAGCCAACATGTAAAAAATATTTAATTTCTTCATAAATTTTGGTCAAAACGAATTTCGCTGCATGTCTTTGGCAAAATAAAAAAAACAAATACCAATAAGTGTATACTATATTGTCAAAAGTATTGTCCCCCCGCCCTCCAAATCATGTGATTCAGATGTTCCAATCCCCTCCATGGCCACAGGTGTATACAATCAAGCCCCTAGGCATGCAGACTGCTTCTACAAACATTGGTGAAAGAATGGGTCACTCTTAGGAGCTCAGTGACTCCAAGCGTGGTCCCGTGATAGGTTGTCACCTGTGCAATAAATCCATCCGTAACATTTCCTGGCTACTAAATATTCCACGCTCAACTGTTAGTGGGATTATAACAAAGTGGAAGCAACTGGGAACTACAGCAACTCAGCCACCAAGTGGTAGGCCACGTCACATGACAGAGCGGGGTAAGCGCATGCTGAAGCGCACAGTGTGCAGAAGTCACCAACTGTCTGCAGAGTCAATAGCTAAAGAGCTCCAAACTTTGTGTGGCCTTCAGATGAGCCCAACAACAGTGCAATGCAAAGCGTCGGATGCCGTGGTGTAAAGCACGCCGCCACTAGACTCTAGAACAGTGGAGACGTGTTCTCTGGAGGGACCAATCACGCTTCTCTGTCTAGCAATCCAATGGATGTGTCTGGGTTTGGCGGTTGCCAGGAGAACGGTACTTGCCGGACTGCATTGTGCCAAGTGTAAAGTTTGGTGGAGGGAGGATTATGGTGTGGGGTTGTTTTTCATGGGTTGGGCTTGGCCCCCTAGTTCCAGTGAAGGGAACTCTTAAGGCGTCAGGATACCAAAATATTTTGGACACTTTCATGCTCCCTGGATATTGATCTGGTCAGGTAAGTAGCAGAGGGGGTTGTTAATCACTTTCAGCTATTTTGGTGTAAATGAAATTCACAACAGGTGCACTAGATGGGCAACAATAAGACTACCCCCAAAACAGAAATGGCTTTACAGGTGGAGACCACTGACATTCTTTTCCCTACTCATCTTTTTTTTCACTAGTTTTGCATTTCGCTAGGGTCAGTGTCACTACTGGTAGCATGAGGCTATACCTGGACCCTACAGAGGTTGCACAGACAGTCCAACTACTCCAGGATGGCACATCAATACATACCATTGCCAGAAGGTTTGCTGTGTCTCCCAGCACAGCCTCAAGAGCATGGAGGAGATTCCAAGAGACAGGCAGTTACTCTAGGAGAGTTGGACAGGGCCGTAGAAGGTCCTTAACCCATCAGCAGGACCGGTATCTGCTCCTTTGTGCAAGGAGGAACAGGATGAGCACTGCCAGAGCCCTACAAAATGACCTCCAGCAGGCCACTGGTGTGAATGTCTCTGACCAAACAATCAGAAACAGACTTCATGAGGGTGGCCTGAGGACCTGACGTCCTCTAGTGGGCCTTGTGCTCACTGCCTGGCACCAAAGAGCTTGATATTCATTTGCCATTGAACAACAGAATTGACAGGTCCACTACTGGCACCCTGTGCTTTTCACAGATGAGAGCAGGTTCACCCTGAGCACATGTGACAGAGGTGAAAGGATCTGGAGAAGCCATGGAGAACCTTCTGTTGCCTGTAACATGGTTCAGCATGACCGTTTTGGTGGTGGGTCATTGATGGTCTGGGGAGGCATATCCATGGGGGGACGCACAGACCTCTACAGGCTAGACAATGGCACCCTGACTGCCATTGGGTATCGGGATGAAATCCTTGGACCCACTGTCAGACCCTACACTGGTGCAGTGGGTCCTGGGTTCCTCCTGGTGCAGTGTGGCCTGGGTTCCTCCTGGTGCACAACAATGCCCGGCCTCATATGGGGAGAGTATGCAGGCATTTCCTGGAGGATGAAGGAATTGATACCATTGAATGGCCCCCACACTCGCCTGACCTAAATCTAATAGAACACCTCTGGGATGTCATGTTTCGGTCCATCCGATATCGCCAGGTTGCACCTCAGACTGTCCAGGAGCTCAGTGATGCCCTGGTCCAGATCTGGAAGGAAATCCCCCAGGACACCATCCGTCGTCTCATTAGGAGCCTCCCCCAACGTTGTCAGGCATGCATACAAGCACATGGGGGCCATAAAAATTACTGAGGACCATTTTGAGTTGCTGCAATGACATTTCACCAAAATGAACTCGCCTGCTGCATCATTTTTTCACTTTGATTTTCGGGGTGTCTTTGAATTCAGTCCTCTGTAGGTCGATCATTTTCATTTCGATCAAACGATGGGGCGTCCTTATGTTCCTAACACATTACCCAGTCCATGTCAGTATAGAGATCCAGCAGGAGAATTTTCCCCCATTGAGATCTGATGTGTTTTCAAAGTCTTCTTTTCATTTTACCACCCATACATACTGATCCTGGATAATCAACACATAATCTGTTGTGAAATTGCACAAGAGATGAAGCTTTCTGTGAGAACGGTGAGCACAATGATGAGTAAGTGAAGCTGGCTGTCCTAGGATGGTTCAGGCGTACTGACAAATCTTTCTATGCCGAGGCTTTCCAGGCATTAGTTAAACACTGGTGTTCTGCCCATATTGTTGAAAATCAATGTATGTAATGTGCTGTAATGGATTATACTGCAATGTTATGTGATGTTGCTGCCATCTAGTGGTCAGAGTTATTATTATGCCTAGTTATATCAGGACTTGACAGGAAGTGGTAATTTTCACATAGAGACAGTAATCTTTAACCTGGAACTTCCTATCCTCCATTTCGTGACTGCTTCTGGATCTAGCAAGCAGCATACAGTGGAGCTCTGAGCTATTCCTGGAATTGTCCGTGAGTACACTCACTGATGGGATGAAGCTGTTGTACAATGTTTAATGTACTGACACATATGTTTTGTTTATGCTTATGTTGTAGTTTTACAAAGTTATTCAGAACAAAGAATACACACAGATCTGATGTCTCATGTTTCTTGACTTCTGAATTATTGTTAGACTGTCTGACTAGTGTTATACAACAGTTCAAAAACGCAAAGCAGAACAACTGGGATAAGTGTATTATGTAGAAAGGGAGTATATAAAAAAATAAATGCAATTTCCACTCCTTGACATTTGTTCTTTTATTATATAAACTCAAAAGCCCCTGTTTGACTTGAACGCCCCTCACACAAACCAAGCATCTTTTAGGAGTTAAGCAGACCATAGATGAGTCGAAAACCAAATGAAAATTCTTGGTTGTTTGTTTTTTGCATCATTTGTTTGCGATTTTTGTGTCGCAATCGAAAGTGCCTGATCCAACATGCTGGATTTTGTTTAACCTCCCTAGTTGTCTGATTATGTCAGTATTTCTGTGCTCAAAGCGGTACATTTTTTTGCATGGAAATATGTATTTTTTTGTATTGTAGGCCTGTAATTTTTAGGAATAACTCACTGAAATCTGTCTGAACAAGAGTCTAGTAAACATCCCGGGTATGTTCAAATTTGAAACACAAAATCATAAATTATAATATAATAAATAATCATAAAAAATAATACTATAATAATACATTTAATTCAATAATATAATCACACCAAAAAACACTGAAATTTGAAATATAGCGCACATCACTGAGCAAAGTCGCAAAATCGTTTTCAGTGTCTGATGACGAATTTCCTCCATGAATCATCACTCAATTCTGCAAGTGGTTCTAATTTACTATCGCTGTTCTCTAGCTGGTCTAAAACCACTTTTGACCTAAAGGGACGCTTTTTGGATGCCATGGACGTTTCTCAGTTTCCAGGCAGAAAGAACAGTAGAAATGCAGACAGGGCACAGGACAAAGCACTCGGGACAAAATGTATGTGAAATGGTTTGATACAGTAATGTTTTACTATGTGATTTTAGTGTATTTAGTGAATGTCACTTTTTGGCATTTTAAAATTTCCCGCCAGTTCCGTCCCCGTACATCCTGACGTCGCAGGGAACGGAACCCCCAAGACAGGTGCTGGCATCGGCCGGAGGAAATGGACCGGGGACGCTGCAGTGGGGACATCGCGGGAGCGCAGGACAAGGTAAATGCAGAAAAGATCCCGGAGCACTGCTGCAAGGTATTCCCGAGTGTAGCTTGGGGTTACCGCTTGTGGTGCTGAAACTATACACCAAGCTACATTCAGGAATACCGCCAGGGGGGTTAAAAAAAACAAAACAAATGATGGCACAGTCGTATGCTCCAGTTTTGTTTTTCGATCGACAGAACCTTCTGTTTTCGACTTGTCTATTGCATGTCTCAGTTCTCTGATGTGAATTAAGTTTGGTTCTCCAGTTAAGAACTCGGTTGCATTCTAAATCTTAGTGTCTTTGCAAGTTCTGATTTCTTTGTAGGACATTTAATCAAACCAAATCTTGAATTTGGCTTTTCTCCAGTAAGGGTTCCCTGATGTGAGACAAAGGTGTTCCTGGTAAAACATTTTCTAGAGAAGGGATGATATCAATCCCCTTTAAGATGATGTAGGGTGGGTGTCAGGAGGCACCAGGAAAATTCCAGCTATGTATAAAGATATCGGATGATAGATCTGCACTGTGAGGGCTTGAATGAAGATCCTTTAGGATTTTTTCTGAAGAACAGCTGTCTTATGTTTCACCTCGGAGGACAATGGAACATTTCTCTGGGTTTTTCCTGTAGTGTCGATGTTCATTAGGAAAAAAAAATAGCAAAATTGCAAAATGGTTAAGATCAAATCTGTTTTTTTTTTCAAAGTTTTAAACAGTATGTACAGGCAAAACTTTTTTTTAAATTAGCAAAGGGTTTACACCCTTAGCAGATTATGTTTTGATATCTGTGTCTCCTTGGCAAGATTTCCCATCACTTCCATCTTTGACAGCTGCCACTGGAACAGGTTCCCCAATTGGATGCTTCTACTCACCTCTTGGTCAGGTAGCAACGTTAAAATTTTGGATTTCTCCTAAATTTTTTTGTCTTAGTGGCAATGTTACCAGGACAAATAGAGATGAATCTCCTCAGTGGGGACACAGACCACAAGAATACCTTGACCGAGGGTACAAGAGAAGTGTGGCCAAGAGCATTGGCCATACTTCTCTTTTAAAGAGGACCTGAACTTAGGAAGGGGAAAAAAGACAAAAGGACAAGTCACCAGTCTTATCTGTGGTCTACCTGCAGCTAACCTTTTCCCCATTACAGAAATTAAAAAGTGAACATTTGCTATCTTAACCCCTTCATGCCTAAGGTAAAACAAATCCAAATGCCTAAGCACAATTTTGCAACGTTGACCTGTGTTAGTAAAACTGTACATATCATCACAACTACTTTGTACATCCAGGTGAATTATACCGCATTTTCTTCAGGACAAATTGGGCTTTCAACCTATAATCAAAGAGTAACCCAAAATACCTTTTCCAGCTCTTGACGATCGCAATGATACCATACATGTGTATGTTATTTGTTGTTTGTACTCGTAGTACAGCCCAGAAACAATAGTGCACATTTTGTTTTTTTTACCTAAAATACACTGACACTAAGTGACACTGATACCAATTAAAAAAAAAAAATCTTGACTTTTGATCCTGACATTTTGACCTTGACCCAAACACTAACCCTGGTACTGAACTAGATCAAACCTTGATCTAGGTATTTTTTTTTCTTTATTTTTTTATTTTATTTTTTAATAATTATTTATATTTTTTTCTTTTTTTTTTTAACAATTTTTTTTTCTCTATGCCAGGATTAGAGAGATACAATATATCCCTCTCCTCCATTCATAGAGAAAAAAAAAAACAAGGGAGGCGGGCTATACAGTGACTGATCACTGTGATAGCCAATTAGAAGCTATCACAGTGATCATGTGTCCCGGAATCGGGAGTCACGGCTCCCAATCGTTAGAACGGGACCCAGGGCTCTCAGTGACACCCTGGTCTTTGTGCTTGGACCGCGCTGTACGGAGCACTCCCAGCAGAAAGACAGGTACACAAATATGCGGCCCCACAGAGAAAAGCCCAGTTCTGTGGCCGCATATTTGTGTGACGTCGGTGCAACGACGAGTTAACGGGAATATCTAGAAATGCAGAAAATGAATTCCAGGCTGATGCTTTTCTGAAATTCAGGAAAAAACGTAGATTTTTTTTTTAAGGGTACCTCTTAGACACAATTAAAGTGGAATTCCAGGCTACACCTAACAAATAAAAATGCACGAAAATATTCACCTATTTTCAGGTCACGTGATCTCGCCTATGTCAGGCAGCTGCAGGGGGGAGGGTAGAGCGCTGGACAAAGCTGAAACACCCCAGAGTGGTGACATCACCTATAGGCTTCACTGGCCCATCCGTTGACACCGCTCACCCCTCTCCCTTGCAGCCACCGCTGGCTGACACCCTGGAACAGAATCACATGAGCGGACCAGAGTGGGCTGAAAATAGGTAAGTATTTGCAACTTTCTTTCACACAGGTCACTCAGCAAAGGTGTTTGGAGGGGGGAGAGAGCATTAGTTTAGGTGTAGCCTGAACTTTAACCACTTGCCCTCCAGAAGACTTACCCCCCTTCATGACCAGGCAATTTTTTGCTATACGGCGCTGTGCTATTTTAACTGAAAATTGAGCATGCAACGTTGTACACAAATTCAATTTATATAATTTTTTCACACAAATAGAGCTTTCGCTTGGTGGTATTTGATCACCACTGAGTTTTTTAATTTTTTTGTGCCATAAACAAAAAAGTACAAAAATCAAAAACAAACGCAATATTTTTTAATTTTTGCTATAAAACGCATCCAATAAAAAAATTTTCTTTCTTCATAAATTTAGGCATAAATGTGCTCTGCTACGTCTTTGGTAAAAAAAAAAAAATCCCAATAAGTGTATATTAATTTGTGTGAAAATTATTTTTGCTATAAACAATGGTGTATATATACTGAAACATGAATTTATTTTTTTTTTTACTAGTAATGGCGGCGATCAAAATGACATATAGCAGGACTGTGATAGCGCAGTGGACATTCTGACACAGGGTAGGAACTGACTGCCACTAACATCTCCAGTGACACGAATACAGTGATCAGTGCTAATAAAAAGCACTGACACTGTACTAATGACACTGGGCAGGAAGGGGTTAACATCTGGGGCAATCAAAGGGTGAACTGTGTGTTAGGGAGTGCTTTTACTGTATACTGTGTGGTGTTTTACTAAGAGATGAGCGGCACATCCCCGCTGACATCCCTGTGTTGTTTACACGCACAGATCTCTCTCCTGCCAGTTGCTCCGCCAATCGCTGGGTCCTGGCCATGAATCGCTGGCCAGGACCCCGTGACTGACATGTACAGGAGCCAATGACAGTGTGGGTAGATGGGCGTGTGTGCCCTCCACCCGGAAATGCATATATATATACACACACACACACGATTCTGCACAGAGCGGCCGCCTTGTAGCAGTAAAACTGCTATAGGGTAGTCAACAAGCGGTTAATTGTGCCTCTTAACAAAAAATCAAAGTTTTGTCCTGAATTTCTAAAAAACATCAGAGCGCCTCCTAGGTGCATAGCTGTATATCTGCATCTTTTTGGACTTTATTTATTGTTCATTACTCACCTGTGCTGATCTTTGGAGGGATTTCCTCTTCCCTAAACTGCTCACCCATCGCATCTGGATCTTCTGCATCTGCTCCAATTCTCACATGTCCATCTTCCTCCTCCTCAGCTTTGACATCTCTCCGAGTGTCTCTGGTGTCTCCGGGGTCTGTAAATAAAGAAGGAGAGTGAAGCCCCCTGTACTGAGATGTATGAGAAACACCAGAGAGTGTGTGTGGGGGAGACTGGTCATGTCTCAATGACATGATGTGAGGAGTAGAGCCGGAGTCTAATAGAGGCTGATGGCTCCTGACCCCCCCACTGGGCACATACTGTCCCCCCATTACTGTCTACTGACAGAGGAGGGGGGAGAAGAAGAGATGGTTGTAGTGACTGAACAAGGAGGATCTGGGACTCTTCTCTGGATTTAGTGTTTACTCCTCACCTGTGCTGATCTCTGGAGGACTTTCCTCCTCCTTACATGGATCATCATCCATCACATACGGCTCTTCTGCTTCCTCTTTCACTTCAGCTTTAAAAGTAGCTTTTTTACCCTTAATGAGATAAAAACGAAATAGTAAATTATCTAAATATTACCGCCCAAAGCAACATTTTCACTCCACTGCACCCAGTAAGTAAAAATATATTTGATTTGTAATGCAAACCAGTCATTATAATGGAAGATGTATAACATATATTGATTTATGGCTGAGACCTGCTGATTGGCTGTAGCCAATTACAGCACAGAGTCCTATGTTTACAAACAACACAGGGCTCTGTACACAGATGAGTGATCTGGCTGTTTCTTCACCCTGAAAAACAACCAGATCTATAAGTAAGAGCAGCACATGTTACACACATTACACTTGTTAGGCACACAGTTAACCCCTTGATTGTCCCCACATGTTACCGCCTTCACTGCCAGTGTAATTAATACTGTATTCACTGTATTGGTTTCACTGGTGATGTCAGCATCAGTTAGTGTACCTCACAGCGAGGGTCTTTTAGAGCCAGATTGCTTGCCACACTGCCACAGTCCCACTATAAATCGCTGGTCACTGCCTTTACCAGTATAGTGTCTATAGCTATGTAAATTCCAGTGTGTGTATATATATATATATATATATATATATATATATATATATATATATATATATATATACCATATGTTGAAGACACTATAACTTTCACATAAACCAATTATTATACACTTATAAATGCAGAATCCATTTTAGTCTAAATTTATGAAATTTATTTTTTTTGGATATTTTTTATAATTTATAACTAGAAAATATTGTTTTTGTATCAAAATTTTCAGTCTCTTTAAATTTATTTATATAATAAAGGACCCAGTGGTAATCAAATACCACCAAAAAAAGCTCTATTTGTGTTAAAAAAAAATGATGATCTAAATTTAATTTGGGTACAGTTTTGCATGGCCGAGTGTGACAGACCCAACCGGGACAAGGGCTTTTGGAGGGGACTAGAGGCTAGCCTTTTCACCCACTGATTATGGCCTATGGAGGAGAATGGGGATTTTGTCTGCTTTTCCCAGTCATAGCATGGAAAAAAGCTCAGTTCAGCCTCTGATCACATGGAGAGAGCGGATCAGTCTGTGATGATGGATAATAACCTGATGAACGCTGGGAGCGAGGCTTGGATTAATTCTCTGAATAAAGAAAATAAATCTTTCCTTCTGGAGTGAATGGAAAGGTATAATATTAATCTTGGACAGGTTAATAGTCAGAGGAAATATGGTGGCCCTCTGAAGACTGGGTTGGAGAAGCTCCTTCACTTGGGACAGAAATATTTATCAACCATCTCCCTCAAAAACTCTATGAAGATAAACTAATTCTACTTTTTCAAACTGCTGGAACGTTATATGAGTTATGTCTTATGATGACTTTTTCTCATGGACAGATTATACAAGTGAAAAGAAAAACCTGAAAGATAGCATGTGTAATGTGCTTTGTATATCCAAGGGTGTGAGCTTGTTGCCGGACAGTTTGGGTTGGACTCCTGGCTGGCCTGGTTGCCAGGCTGTTGATAAGCTTGCTGTTAATTAGATCACTGTTAGCTGTTCATTAGATGTACTGATGATATTACTGTTTACAGATTGCATTGCTTAGGATAATGTGAGCAAGCTCTTAACTGATTCTATGTGGTATAAATTCTGTGTGAGATGACAGTAAAGAGGGTTCCAGGTTGCACCTAAGCTAGTGTCGTCTAGTTCTTGGGTGATATTCCTAGCTATAATACCTTGGTCCTGTGTCCCAACAGCAAGGAAGCAGTTCTCTGATGAAGGCACTCAAGTGGGGTACCAAGTGGTCTGTCACACCGAGCAATTGCCAGTTACAGTAGCGCAGTGCTGAATAGAAAAAATTCCCTGGTAAAACCTTCCAGAGCTCAAGTGGTTAATCTGGGACCACTCACTTATTACCGACCACTATACAAGATCTTTATAGTGACCCTGTAGAATGTGCAACGAAAGTATCTCAATACAGTGCTACTGTTACACATTGGATGTGTTAGAATATGAAAACACAAAAATAAACTATATGGCAATAAGATAGCTAGGGCGGTGGAGTGGATTGTGGATAAAGTCACAGTACAAAAGGGAAAACACACAACGTGTGTTTGGGATAGTAAAAGTGCAAAGTTCCAGAAGGCTTGTGTCCCCTTGAACTGGCTGCAGCCAGGGCCGTAGTTAAGGGGGTGCCACCAATCCACCTGTACGGGGCCAAGACCAGCAGGGGGGCCCAGGCAGCTGGGTGAATCACATGTGGGCAGGGAAGGTGATCGGAACAGCGGGGGGGGGGGGGGGGGCAATTCCTGGAACCGATCCCCTGTATGACTCTCCTTGCAGCAACTGAAAGCTGGCTTCTTCTCCTCTCCCTGGCTGACTTTCAGCTGCTGCAGAGAGAGCCATATAGAGGATCAGTTCAAGTGATTGCCCCCCTGCCATACCCATCACCCTCCCTGTGCACCATACATTTCCCCCCCCCCCCTTCCGCAGCAGTGCTTCCAGCTTCCCTCCTCTCCTTCCCACCAACAGCTGCAAGCACACAATAGGATCCTTCAGGATGGAAAGTGCCATATGTGGCAGTGTCTCATTTACCAGCCCCTTAATTTCCTGACTGAACACAATCAGTGATCGGTACCAATCACTCACTGTATTCATTCCTACCTGAAGCATAGTAAACTGGGTTTTTTTGGGAGGGGGGCCCTGCCAGGTTGGCTGCATGGGGCCCCGTTGTTTCTAACAGCAGCCCTGGCTGTGGCTCCTCTATATGAGTTTAGGATATTAACTCTTGCACTGTCAAAACAAAAGAAACAGCGGGCGCCATCATCTAAGTGTAGATTTATTTGAAACAATGAAAAGTTACAAGTTAAAAATTGCACTTATGTTGTATAAAATCATAATTACTAGTCCTCTGGGATCTGCAGAGAACTTCTTTTTATTACTTCTTTTTATTGTTTCAAATAATTCTACACTTAGATGGCAGCGCCCGCTGTTTTTCTTTGTTTTTGTGTTAGAATATGAGGCTGATCTGGTTTATTTTGTTTCTGTCTTTACCAGTTTCTTATTTTACCAAAGCTACCCATGTACCTGATCATTCTGAGGGATCTGGTGATGTTTCTGCGTGGAATCCAGCCAGGAAAGAGGACTGAGACATCTCTCTGGTATATTATGATTGCTGGGTGCACCTGAAGTACACAAAATAATCATTTCAGTGTAATGATATGTTTTATAAAACTGTATTTTGAGCTGTAAAATGATATTCATGCATGTGATAGATAGGAAGGTAATCACAGATATGACCTCATCCTCCCTCAGCATCCCATTTGGCTTTTCTTTTGAAAGGCTTCAGCAGCCCTTCGCATGTGGGCACCTACATGAACTCAGGAACTACATTCCCACCCTGGAATCTTTGTTCCCTGAGATGGGACATAAGGAAATTTGGACTACTATATACAGAACATATTTAGAACATTGCAAATAACTTACATAGTTAGTCTGGCTGAAACAAGACCAAAGTCCATCCAGTTCAACCATAAAAAAAAAGGAAAAAAATTTATAATCCTACACCCACAAGTTGATCCAGAGGAAGGCAAAAAAGCATAGTCCAATTTGCTCCTGCAGGGGAAAAAAATTCCTTCCTGATCCCCCGAGAGGCAATCAGATATTCCCTGGATCAACTTTACCTATAAATGTTATATCCAGTTATATTCTGTGTATCCAAGAAACAATCCAGGACTTTCCTACAGCAATCCACTGAGCTGGCCAGAACCAACTCTTGAGGGAGTCTATTCCACATTTTCACAGCTCTCACTGTGAAGAAACCTTTCCATGTTTGGAGATTAAATTTATTTTCCTCCAGACGTAAAGAGTGCCTCCTTGTCCTCAGTGATGACCTCAGGGTGAATAACTACACAGAGTTCACTATATGAACCACTGATGTATTATACATGGAGATCATATCCCCCTTATGTATTATACATGGAGATCATATCCCCCCCTTATGTGTATTATACATGGAGATCATATCCCCCCTTATGTATTATACATGGAGATCATATCCCCCTTATGTATTATACATGGAGATCATATCCCCCCCCAATGTATTATACATGGAGATCATATCCCCCCTTATGTATTATACATGGAGATCATATCCCCCCTTATGTATTATACATGGAGATCATATCCCCCCTTATGTATTATACATGGAGATCATATCCTCCTTATGTATTATACATGGTGATCATATCCCCCTTATGTATTATAGATGGAGATCATATCCCCCCCTTATGTATTATACATGGTGATCATATCCCCCCTTATGTATTATACATGTGATCATATCCCCCCTTATGTATTATACATGGAGATCATATCCTCCCTTATGTATTATACATGGAGATCATATCCCCCCTTATGTATTATACATGGAGATCATATCCCCCCTTATGTATTATACATGGAGATCATATCCTCCTTATGTATTATACATGGTGATCATATCCCCCTTATGTATTATACATGGAGATCATATCCCCCCCTTATGTATTATTATACATGGTGATCATATCCCCCCTTATGTATTATACATGTGATCATATCCCCCCTTATGTATTATACATGGTGATCATATCCCCCCTTATGTATTATACATGGAGATCATATCCCCCTTATGTATTATAGATGGAGATCATATCCCCCCCTTATGTATTATAGATGGAGATCATATCCCCCCCTTATGTATTATACATGGTGATCATATCCCCCCCTTATGTATTATAGATGGTGATCATATCTCCCTGTATGTATTATACATGGTGATCATATCCCCCCTTATGTATTATACATGGAGATCATATCCCCCCTTATGTATTATACATGGTGATCATATCCCCCCTTATGTATAATACATGGAGATCATATCCCCTTTATGTATTATACGTGGAGATCATATCCCCCTTATGTATTAAACATGGTGATCATATCCCCCCTTATGTATTATACATGGAGATCATATCCCCCCTTATGTATTATACATGGAGATCATATCCCCCCTTATGTATTATACATGGTGATCATATCCCCCTTATGTATTATACATGGTGATCATATCCTCCCCTTATGTATTATACATGGAGATCATATCCCCCCCTTATGTATTATACATGGTGATCATATCCCCCCTTATGTATTATACATGGAGATCATACCCCCCCTTATGTATTATACATGGAGATCATATCCCCCCTTATGTATTATACATGGTGATCATATCCCCCTTATGTATTATACATGGTGATCATATCCCCCCTTATGTATTATACATGGAGATCATATCTCCCCCTTATGTATTATACATGGAGATCATATCCCCCTTATGTATTATATACATGGAGATCATATCCCCTCTTATGTATTATACATGGAGATCATATCTCCCCCTTATGTATTATACATGAAGATCATATCCCCCCTTATGTATTATACATGAAGATCATATCACCCCCTTATGTATTATACATGGAGATCATATCCCCCCTTATGTATTATACATGGTGATCATATCCCCCCTTATGTATTATACATGGAGATCATATCCCCCTCTTATGTATTAGACGTGGTGATCATATCTCCCCTTAATCTCCTCTTCTCAAGAGAGAATAAATTCAGTTCCTCTAATCTTTCCTCATAGCTGAGCTCCTCAACTTGAGTTGTCTGTTGTGCAAAGAAGAAGTGTTGTCTGGGTAAAACATCTTCCACATGCAGAACATGAAATTGGCCTCTAGGTGAAAATCCAATGCATGTTAAAAGGGTATTTTTGGCTTAAATATTTTTTTTAATTCAGAACGTGGATATAGCTTCACCCAATATACCTTCTCTGAAAATAAAGTGAGTTCTATAGGTAAAACAACTCCCATTTTAAGAACATAAATATGGCTTCCCCATGTCAGTTCCTGGTGCTGTATCATTATGCGATTTATTTTCTATATTCTGCAAAATCCCACTGTTCTCTGATTCCCCCTCCTCTCCATGACCCCGCTGCAGTTGCGGATTCTACACTGCTGCTGTAGGCAGCTAGTGCACATGCTCAGTTTTCAGTACATTTCTACCCTGAACCTTTCTTCCCTATCACATCTGAGCAGCCAATGTGACAACAGAGAAACACATGTGGGCATCTACACAGTGGTAAATGACAGAGCCCTCCTCCTCCATGCCCATTAACCAACTAAACACAATAGAGTTGGGATATTATATCTTGATTGATGTAGGCTTCACCTCCCTGTTATTCTAAGATACAGGCTGGAGAGGTGTGACAGTCTGTAACTGGAAGAAATTCACCTACACCATGTTACTGACAAAAAATTAAAAAAGACTTGATTTAAAATATAAATTTGTATGATGATTTAAAACAGTTAATTGGTATTAATTATTTATTGTTACTCTGTATTCCAAAGGCTGTTTCTTTTTTGTTTTTTTTTTTATTTTGAACATGTGACCATCAGCAGAGGACTAGAAGCTCCTCCTGGCATTGTTTCCCTGCAGACAGGTTGGGAAAAAAAGGATTTTTAATAAAATAATTTCAGTGCTATCGTCTACATACAGAAAGAGAAGGGATAATGTAAATTAACCTCTTGGCGCCAGCCGCATGCAAATGTTCGGTCTCCCGGTGTCTGGGCCTTGACGCCGAGCGGCCGCACATTTGCGTGCAATTAAGAAAAACATATGTGCTGAGAGGGCGCGCCCTGCACCCTCCCAGCACACATGTTTAATTTTGTCTGTTACATAAAAATGGCTACTCGCCTGTATGAACCTTTTTATGCCTTTTAAGGTTTGATTTCCGGGAAAAATATCTGCCACACTCTAAACACGAACGAAAACGGCCTCTCCCCCGTATGAGTTCTCTGATGTGCGGCAAGATTCGAGCTTCCAACAAAAGTCTTCCCACATTCCGTGCATGAGTAAGGCTTCTCTCCCGTGTGAATTCTCTCATGACTGATAAGTGACCATTTCCAAGGAAATGCATCGCCGCACTGGGAACAGGAAAACGGCCTCTCTTCTGTGTGAGTTCTCTGGTGCTTAACAAGTGTTGACCTTTCAGTAAAACACTTCCCACACTCAGAGCATGCAAACGGCTTCTCCCCAGTGTGAACTTTTCTATGTGCAATAAGTGATGATTTCTGAGAAAAATGTTCCCCACATTCGGAACATGAATAAGGTTTCTCCCCGGTGTGAGTCATCTGATGGGAGGCGAGATATCTTCTTTGAGAAAAAGACTTCCCACATTCCGAACATGAATATGGTTTCTCTCCAGTGTGAGTCCTCTGATGAAGGTAAAAATGTCCACTTTGGGAAAACCGCTTTCCGCATTCTGAACATACAAAAGGCTTCTCCCCAGTGTGCGTTCTTTGGTGTTTAGCAAGCTGCTTCTTCTGACAAAAACGTTTCCCACATTCTGAACATAAAAAAGGCTTTTCAGCTAAATGAGTTCTCTGGTGTATAGTGAGAAGATGTTTCTGAGAAAACTGCTTTCCACATTCTGAACATATAAAAGGCTTTATAGTTGAGTGAGTTCTCTGGTGCCTAGTGAGGATATGTTTATGAGAAAAACGCTTCCCACATTCTGAACATAGAAATGGCTTCTCAGCTGGGGAAGTTCTCTGGTACTTAGGGAGCAAATGTTTTTGAGACCCTTCCCCACATTTAGAACCTGGCCAAGGCTTCTCGATTCTGTGAACTTTCTGCTGGGAGATGCGTTCTGCTTTTTGGGCAAAATATCCACCACACTCAGAACATGAGAAGGTTTCAGACCGTCTATGACAAATGATGGGATATGAGTGACCACCAGAACTCGCCCTAGGGGTAGAGGGAACGGAAGAGATAGATCTGTACTGTGGAGTATTGAATTTGTAGGAATCTGGTTATCTTGTGAAGAATTTGATGTGAAGTTGTCATCTTTTATTTCAGCATCTGGAGAAAGAACAAGACAATTCTCCAAGTTATTCTTGTGGTGTTGCCCAACTCTGATACACCATTCTACAGTAAGAAGATGCTGAAATGATTAAATGCAACAAATCATAGGCCTGCATCTTCAAATGGCCCATTATTTCAAACTAGATCAGAGTCACCATCAATATAATCCTTTTCGTTTTCTGAAAGAGTCCAAGCTAAATCATGTTCAGAGACTCAGCACTGTTGAGATGGATCTAAATCAACCATATTTCCCATAAATACAACTCAAAAAGTTTACGATTGACACCTCTAGTGTATGTTACTTAAAGCGGAGCTCCACCCAAAAGGGGAAGTTTTTGCTTTAAGGCTTTGTCCTCCACTCCCCATTAAGGATTGGCACCTTTGGGGAGCAGGTACCCCAATTTGACAGGTACTCGCTGCTACTTTCGGTGCGATCACCTAGGTGATTGGAAGCGGAAGTTGTCCTCCCTCCCCATAGTCTTCTGGGACACATGACAGGTCCCAGAAGACTACAGGGCCATTCACAAACTGCAGCGCTGTCACAGCCAGGTGCCCAAACTAAAGATGCCAGCGCCAGGGAGAGAAGACGGCCGGTGAAACCAGTCTGGTGAGGACAACGCTGGACCGAGGGACAGGTAGGTTTCTGTTTTAAACATCAGCAGCTACAGTTTTTGTAGCTGCTGACTTTTATTTTTTTTTTTTTCAGGTGGAACTTCACTTTAAGTTTGAACACAAAAAATAACAATGCCACTGTTTGCTTAACCGCTTAAATTTTGGAACTATTTACCCCCTTCATGACCAAGCCATTTTTTGCTGTTCGGCACTCTGCTACTTTGACTGGTAAATGCATGGTCATGCAACACTGTACACAAACGAAATGGCTTCCCGTTGCCCAACTGATAAAAATTCAAAACATTAACAATAACATATAAAGCATTTATAACTCCGACCCAAATTACATCACAAATCTTGTCTCCAAATATCACCCAAACCGTACTCTCCACTCCTCGCACGACCTCCTGCTCTCTAGCTCCCTTTTCTCCTCTTCCCATGCTCGTCTCCAGGACTTCTCCAGAGCTTCCCCCATCCTCTGGAACTCTCTACCCCAATTTATCAAGACTATCGCTGACTCTGCTCACATTTAGGCGATCTCTGAAAACCTATCTCTTCAGGGAAACCTATCCTGCCCTCAGCTAATAATGGAATCTTCTACTCTTCCAACCAGTCCATCCCCCACAGTTATTACCTTTTGTACCACCAACCCCTCACTCTTAGATTGTAAGCTCCAGGGAGCAGAGCGCTCCTAACCCTCTTGTATTGAACTGTATTGTTGCTGTATTGTCTCCCGTTATATTGTAAAGTGCTGAGCAAATTGTTGGCGCTATATAAATCCTGTATAGTAATAATAATAATCTCTTGGTTGGTAACACACAATGACATGATGTAAGGAGAAGAGCTGGAGTCTAATAGAGGCTGATGGCTCCTGACCACCCCACTGGGCACATACTGTCCCCCCATTACTGTCTACTGACAGAGAAGGGGGGAGAAGAAGAGATTGTTGTAGTGAGTGAACAAGGAGGATCTGGGACTCTTCTCTGAATTTAGTGTTTATTCCTCACCTGGACTGATCTCTGGAGGGATTTCCTGTTCCTTACATGACTGATCACCCTTCATGTGTGATTCTTCTGCTTCATCTTTCACTGTTTTAACTGTTACATTTTCATACTGAACAAAAGAAATACATGCAAATAGTAGAGTTTATCAATGAACAGGTTTGGTGATTTTACAGAAGTATTTTTACATTCTGATCAGACTGGTAGGTTAAACTGCAACCTCAGGCAAACAGCTAAATACGCATCAATTTGCCTTGAATTTCATTTAAATTGTGAGTAGAATTAAACCTAATTCTGGTACCCTTGCCAAATTTTTACTACTATCTGGGGATCTGAAGGTGAGATTCCCTCTCATTACTATCACAATGAAAATGGGGTGATTTACTAAAATTGGAGAGTGCAAAATGTGGTGCAGCTCTGCATAGAAACCAATCAGGTTCCAGGTTTTGCTGTCAAAGCCTAACTGAACAAGCTGAAGTTAGAAGCTGATTGGCTAAAATGCACAGCTGCACCAGATTTTGCACTCTAAATCAACCCCAATGGATTTACGAAACAGAATGTCAGGGAAAATCTTCAATAGCAAAAGACACAGAAATAAAACCATTACAGAAATAGAGGGATAGGTAGAACTTACATCAGCTTCATATTGCTGCCTGTGTCCCTGTTGGACATTTCCAGGGCTTTTATCAGCTGGAACTTGATGGAACTCAGCTCCACCAGCTCTGGCTAAGGCCCTCTTCTCTCTGCTCACCACTATTACTTGTGAACACAGAAGGCAAAGAAGTGACAGCTTGTCTCCCAACAGCCCCCACAGATCTGATCTCCTGAGCAGCTCCCACTGAGTGCAGGATAGGGACAAGGAAGATACAGGTGCTCGGGTTCCAGTGCAGATGCCGACCCCCCCCCCCCCCAAAATGATCCCCCTGCAAGTGAGAGAGGCGGAGTCACCTACAGTGTGTGGGGAGGTGCTTAATACAGCAACAAAAGTAAGACATGTGAAAGATCTTGAAGCTTTTAAAGGGGGGGGGGGGTGAGGAGAAGATGGGGGTAGTGGAGGAAGGGGGTTGCATGCAGAGATCAGAGCTGGAGAGGGGTGAAAGTGAGATGTAGATGAAGAATGCGGAGGTAAGCAGCTGTGGAAGGAGGCTGAACTCTGCACTCTGTGTGTGGAGCGCCCCTGAACTCTGCACTCTGTGTGTAGAGCACCCCTGAACTCTGCACTCTGTGTGTAGAGCGCCCCTGAACTCTGCACTCTGCACTCTCTGTGTGTAGAGCACCCCTGAACTCTGCACTCTGTGTGTAGAGAGCACCCCTGAACTCTGCACTCTGTGTGTAGTGGACCCCTGAACTCTGCACTCTGTATGCAGCGCACCCCTGAAGTCTGCACTATGTATGTTGCACACACCCCTGAACTCTGCATTCCGTGTGCACAGAACTCCTGAACTTTGCACTTGGTGTGCAGAGCACCCCTGAACTCTGCACTCAGTATGCAGCACACCCCTGAACTCTGCACTCTGTATGCAGCGCATTCCTGAACTCTGCACTATGTATTTTGCACACCCCTGAACTCTGCACTCAGTATGCACCACACCCCTGAACTCTGCACTCTGTATGCAGCGCATTCCTGAACTCAGCACTATGTATTTTGCACACCCCTGAACTCTGCATTCTGTATGCAGCGCATTCCTGAACTCAGCACTATGTATTTTGCACACCCCTGAACTCTGCACTCTGTATGCAGCACAATCCTGAACTCTGCACTATGTATTTTGCACACCCCTCAACTCTGCACTCTGTATGCAGCGCAATCCTGAACTCTGCACTATGTATTTTGCACACCCCTGAACTGTGCACTCTGTATGCAGCGCATTCCTGAACTCTGCACTATGTATTTTGCACACCCCTGAACTGTGCACTCTGTATGCAGCGAACCCCTGAACTCTGCACTATGTGTGTTGCACACCCCTGAACTCTGCGCTCTGTGCGTAACCCCATCACAACCCAAACTCTGCACTCTGTACATAATGCACTCCTGGTATTTAATGTCCTTTTTAAGATGCTCCCACTGTTAATGAAGTTTGACCACACCCACTAATTGAAGTGGTTTGGAAGGTGTGTGGGGAGAGAGGGGGGATTATTGGGTCATGACTGAGTTCTCACACCTAATTTCTGATTAAAAAAGCTCTGGACATATTTCTTGTTCTCACCATGACAGAAAATTATTTGCCAGAGAGTGCATACGGTACACTTTTCTATGCAGAAAAGGAAACATTAGATTACGGCTAAAAAAGTGGATTGCATGGGCAGATGAACATGAAGTGGGTCCAGTTACTCTACTTTTGTCTTGAAAAATTTCCTCCATTGTATTATTTATTTCATCTACCGGATCATTCTCTGGAATCTTGTGATCTTGCTGTGTACTATCCTTAGAAGCAAGAGGATTTGGACATCTCTCTGGCAGATTCTGGGTACTGTCCACATCTGTAGAAAATGGCTTCCCAACCCCCATATGAACTCTCTTATGTCTGATAAATGACGACTTCCAGGTAAATCTTTCACCGCACTGGGAACAGGTAAACGGTTTCTCCCCAGAGTGAATTATCTTGTGTATAACAAGCTTTGACCTTGCACCAAAACATTTTCCACATTCGATACATGAATATGGCTTCTCCTCTTTATGGATATTTAGGTGTGTATTAAGATTGGACTTTCGTGAAAAATGCTCCCCACATTCCAAGCAGGAAAATGGTTTAAGGCTGGAGTGAGTTTTCTGATGTACAACAAGTGTTGCTCTTTCAATAAAACATTTCCCACACTCAGGACATGAATATGGCTTCTCCCCCGTATGAGTCTTCTGATGGGAGATTAGAGTTCCTTTACGAGAAAAACATTTTTTGCATTCTGAACATGAATAAGGTTTCTCCCCCTGTGTGCGTCATCTGATGCCGTAAAAGATGTCCGCTTTGGGAAAAACGTTTTCCGCACTCTGAACATAAAAAAGGCTTCTCGGCTGAATGAGTTGTTTGGTGTCTAGTGAGTTGGTTTTTCTGAGGAAAACATTTCCCACATTCAGAACATGAATACGGTTTCTCCCTTTATGGCCTCGCTGGTGGGATTTGAGTTTGGCTCTCTGGGCAAAACATTTACCACATTTAGGACACCTGAACCTTTCACCCCTGCTGGGAGCTGCATGATGGGTTACAGCAGGGAGGTTTGGGGTAACGTTGTTGTCTTCAGAAGAATCAGATGTGATGTCATCATCTTTCTTTTCACAATATGATGATACATTGGGTTGATTCTTGGGGTTATTTCCATTTTGTTGTCCACCTGGAGAAAATATGTCATGGAAGACAATAAAATGTATAAGAAGAACATCTTGTCTATTTGAGTGGCAGTAAATTGTGTTCAAATGTAAATTTAACTTTCCTACAACCTGGATTTACCGCTGTATTGGAATTCCTACACTATATGGCCAAAGGTTTGTGGACTCCTGACACCTACATGTTGGCATGAATATGGATTTTGCCAGCCCTTTGCAACTATAACACCCTCCACTCTTCTAAGGAGGCTTTTCACAAGATTCTTTGGGGTGTTGGTGGGAATTTGTGCCCATTCAGCCAAATGAGCATTTAAGAGGTCAAGTACTGATGTTGGATTTTCAATTTGGCTTTGTGCAGAAGCACCAAAAAGGGTCTTCCCCAAACTGCTGCCCAAAAAGTGCACAATTGTCTAAAGCCGGCCATAGATGGTTTGAATCTGGGCCAGTTGAGCACAGACCGACTGAGATTTGAACCACCTATGGGCAGGCTGATTGTACACAATCAGCTTGGGCACAATCAGCATGTCAGATTTTTACAAGCAGGAAAGCAAAATCGCCTTCTCTATGGCCTGTCTAAATGTCTTTGTGCACTGTTATGTTCACAGTGTCTCATCACCGCACTGTGCTTGAAGTCTTTTGTAGATATCTGCCAGCTTTATGCCTTTGCTCACAAAGGCAGCACCGTGGCTAAATGGTTCCGCCTGGAAGCACTAGGGTCGTTGGTTCGAATCCCAGCCATGGCACCACCTGCCTGGAGTTTGCATGTTCTCCCTGTGCCTGCGTGGGTTCCTTCCGGGTACTCTGGTTTCCTCCCACACTCCAAAGACATGCTGGTAGGTGAATTGGCTCCTGTCTAAATTGTCCCTAGTATGTGTATGTATGAATGTGAGTTAGGGACCCTAGATTGTACGCCCCTTGAAGGTTAGGGACTGATGTGAATGTACAATATATATGTGTAAATTGACGCCACTATATAAGTACCTGTAATAAATAAATAACAGTACCCTGCCCTGGAAACACTAGAACTCAATGATTTAGAGGGTTGCCCACATTCTTTTAAACATTTGTGAAGCATGCAACCTTGCTCATACAATACCAAGTCAGAGGACTGAGCATGCTCAAAAAGACATTCTCTATCTTGGAGAAATTAAGATACCGCGAACACAAGAGCACTGCAGGAGGGATTCCCCCATCACAAATGACTGTGTTGATGGGGGGACAAGTGATTTTCTTTCCTTACGTCCATGGTGGAATGAAAGAAAACGCATAATCTATTGCCTGCTGAACTCAAGACTGAAACCACTGGTACAGTTCAATTTGGTACAGTTCAAAATGACCATTATGCAGTCCATAGACGGGTCGTTTATCGGGCGAATTTTCGTCCGAACGAAAAATCGGCCGATATTCACACCGTTAGTGGGGCAATGCCGTCGGCTGTTTTTCGTGGGTCTTCTCGTTTCTTTTTATCGGTCATGCTGGAAAATCCATTAAAAACGTCTGTTTTTCGTAAGCATTGGTGGCAGCATCCATAGCAGCAATGACCGATTTTTCATTTATCGGCCGACAATTTGGCCAATAAATGGCCCGTCTATGGCCAGCCTAAGCCTCACCACAAATGCTAAATCTCCACCAAAACAAATCATTGATTGAAAAATGCCATTGTTAGCTCAGATTTAAGTGAACATGTTTCACCATGCATCCTTCACATATTATTCACTGTACTGGGGAAATATCATGTAAATCTTCATTTAATGTTTATCCCCCACCTGTGGTGATCTTTATAGGTATTTTCTCCTCTTTAATCATTGCATGTGCTTCTTCCTCCTCCTCAGCTTTGATGTCTCTCTGAGTGGCTCTTGCATCTGTGAACAAAGATGAGAGTGAAGCCCCCTGTACTGAGATGTATGAGAGACCCCAGAGAGTGTGTGTGGGGGGAGACTGGTCATGTCTCAATGACATGATGTGAGGAGGAGAGTCGGAGTCTAATAGAGGCTGATGGCTCCTGACCCCCCCCCCCCCCCCCCCACTGGGCACATACTGCCCCCCCATTACTGTCTACTGAAAGAGGAGGGGGGAGAAGAAGAGATTGTTGTAGTGACTGAACAAGGAGGATCTGGGACTCTTCTCTGGATTTAGTGTTTATTCCTCACCTGGGCTGATCTCCTCCTCCTTACATGGTTCATAGCCGGAGTCTAATAGAGGCTGATGGCTCCTGACCCCCCCACTGGGCACATACTGTCCCCCCCATTACTGTCTACTGACAGAGGAGGGGAGAAGAAGAGATTGTTGTAGAGACTGAACAAGGAGGATCTGGAACTCTTCTTTGGATTTCCCTAGGCTGTCTATTGATCCCACTTTTAATGATTTGCTTTTGATTGTCTTACAGAGTTGACCTCGACTGATAGAATGTATTCTAATCATTTCTCTTTATTGTCATTGCTCTTTTGTTCATTGTTGCTTGTGATCCATGTGCTACACTGTGCATTCCCTTATTCCTTTTTAATTTTTTTATTACCTTTGTAATTTTTTGCGGTTTTATTTTATTTTATTTTTTTTTCAATAAAACCACTGAACAAGAGATGTGCCCAATACAGAGGACCACCTCCATGAAATCTGATGGCATGATACAAGTTAAAACCTAAACCCATGCACATTGTATTTCCTTCTGGATAGAGTGGGGAAGGGTTAGAGCTTGTCAGGTGTCAGTATTTGTTCCTTACCTGTGCTGATCTCTGGAGCTTCCTCCACTTTGATCCTCAGAAATCCTTCCTCCTCCTCAGCTTTGACATCTGTCTGAGTGTCTCTGGTGTCTCCGGGGTCTGTGAATAAAGATGAGAGTGAAGCCCCCTGTACTGAGATGTACGAGAGACCCAAGAGAGTGTGTGTGGGGGGGAGACTGGTCAGAAAAGCATGATCCAATTTGCTCCTGCAGGGGAAAAAAAATCCTTCCTGATCCCCCGAGAGGCCATCGGATATTCCCTGGATCAACTTTACCTATAAATGTTAGTAACCAGTAGGGGTGGACTGACCATTTGGAAACTCTGGCACTGCCCGAGGGCCCGAGGTTATTAGGGAGCCCCATGAGATGCCCCTGGTACCTTTTTCATAGGTTTTTTTGAGTTTGGGCAAGGACACAGGGGCCCCATGATCCCCTATTGCCCGGGGGGGGCCCCATGAGTTGTCAGTCCGCCCCTGTTAACCAGTTCTGTTCTGTGGATGTATGAGAGACCCCAGAGAGTGTGTGTTGGGGGAGACTGGTCATGTCTCAATGACATGATGTGAGGAGGAGAGCCGGAGTCTAATAGAGGCTGATGGCTCCTGACCCCCCCACTGGGCACATACTGTCCCCCCATTACTGTCTACTGACAGAGGAGGGGGGAGAAGAAGAGATTGTTGTAGTGACTAAACAAGGAGGATCTGGGAATCTTCTCTGGATTTAGTGTTTATTACTCACCTGGGCTGATCTCTGGAGAAACGTTCTCCTCCTTGTAAGGCTCAACAGTCCTCACGTATGATTTTTTTCTGCTTCCTCTTTTACTTCTTTTGTAAAATACATTAGATTTTTAACCTGAATGGCAAAATATTTCAAAAGGTAAATTGGGTGATCTAATGTTGCACAGAACAATACTTCTGCTTGATCTGATAAAGCCATGTACAAAGTATAAAGAGTAATTATTATATCTGAAGAACATCAACTCTTCATCTTCAACCTCAACTTTAACATAAATCAGGTTTTCATCCTATATAACAAAGATACAAATACTACAGTACATTGAGTTTAAACATATCAGTAAAGCTCTGTACACATAATACAGAGCAGATTTACATTATGTAACAAATGAGAAAGAACCCGATCCCATCTACCTGATCATCCTGAGGGATCTCCTGATGTTCCTGTGTGGAGTCCGGGGAATACAGAGGATGGGGACATCTCTCTGGTGGGTTCCCATTACTGGATCCATCTGTAGGAAACACACACACTGACTGAATACATTGTTTCTATGTCTTTATATCAGAGGATGTGTGTATCTAGGTGGATCCTCAATACAAGAAGTGAAAGTTTCCTCTTACCTGGTGATGTGAGAGGTGGCCGAATCTCCATTATGATGTCTTTCTACAGATCCTCGTGTCCTTCTATATACTCCCACTCCTCTATTGTTCCTATGTCTTTATATCAGAGGATGTGTGTATCTAGGAGGATCCTCAATACAAGAAATGAAAATCTCCTCTTACCCGGTGATGTGGGGTGGCCGGATCTCCATTATGACGTCCTTCTACAGTTCCTCATATCCTTCTAAATGTTACTTTCTCTGTCTGAGTATAAAGAAATAATACAGACTGATAAATAACAATCACACTAAAATAAATGTGTAAAATAAATGTGTAAACACACATACACAATGTTGAATATCCCCCAGCATCAACTGCTTTCTGTAGCTCCTCATGCACACCTGGAGAAGCTCAGAGCAAGCATGTGTATCACCTGAAGCCAGTCCTTCACTGGGTATATGTAAAGGTTTACAACCACTTTAACACCTTCCTGCCTGGCCTATAGCAGATTGACGGCCGGGCGGGGCACTCGCCATTGTGACTGGGCGTCACATGACCTCCTGTCAAAACAAAACGCTCCATAGAACACAGTCAATAACATATCACTACACTGGCACCATTGCCAGTGTCATGTGACCACTGTGACCAATCATAGCAGATCACATGTCAATTGTATACAATGGATGGCTTCCTGTCATGCCATCCATTGTATACACTTATGTTGTTAGCTGTGACTGGTCAAGGCAGTCACATGATGCAGACAGGACCAATCACAGCCCATCTGTATCATGTGATCAGCTTTGCCCAATCACAGCTAATCACAACAAAAGACTGAATGAGTCAGTTTCATTCGATAACAATGATTGCAAATATCAATGAAATACATCGGTATTAGCAATCATAATGTGTAAAAAAAAAAAAATTCTGATCACTTGCCCAGAGTAACATTGTATTGCTTTGGTCACAGTGTGCTGAAAAAGAAAATAGTATAAAAAAAGAAAACATTTTATAAAAATTAAAAAAAATAATAGAAACATTTGAAAAAAAAAAATCCAGAATACATTTTGACCTAAATTTATGAAGAAATGTTATTTATCTGCAAAATTTTATAACAGAAACGAAGAAAAGTGTGTTTTTTTTTTTTTCAAAAGTTTCAGGTGTGTTTTTTATTTTATTTAGTAAAAAAATAAAAAACTCAGTGGTGATTAAATACCAACAAAAGAAAGCTCTATTTGTGTGAAAAAAATGATAAAAATGTCATATAAGTACAGTGTTGCATGACCGCGCAATTGTCATTCCAAGTGCGACAGTGCTAAAAGGTGAAAATTGGCCTGGGCAGGAAGGGGGTAGAAGTGCCCTGTATTGATGGGGTTAAGGTAAAACATGTCTAAAGTCTAGAACCACTTTAAAGTGGAACTAAACCCATCGATTTAATGGTTTCACAAACCAGTTACATTCCTGGCATGCCGGGATGCAGTCACATTTGCTTGTGTTATCAACCAAACTGTCAAACCATCAAATGTCCGGTGTCATCACTGATCACATGTGCAGCACCATGGCAACGGCAGATCAAACAGAGACTTATGCAGGCCAGACACGGGTTGAATTCTGAACAAATTTTCTTTAGAAAATCAGACATTTTGTGCGTTTTGTAATTTGATGATGCCACCATTGATTTCAAAATTCAACCAACCAAGCCTTTCATTTCACCTTGTGTTGCTACAGAAAGTTTTCACGGTCAATAATTTTCTTTTCTTTCCAGATCACAGCTCATGCTCATTTTTTCTTCAATTATATTTCTCTCACAATTCTCCCATCATTGGAAATTGGTTTGTTTTACAAAATATTTCCAAGATGCCGGATCACTCTAATTTAACGATCGCTTGAAAATTGGCTGTTGTTGTGGCCAACTAATGGTGCGAAATTCAAAAGAAAATTCTTAGAAAAGATTTTCAAAAGAAAATTATTTCAGAATTCGACCCGTGTGTGGCTGGCTGGAAGATGGCAGCTTCCTTGTCTTTAACCACTTCAAGTCCAGACACTTTCACCCCAGTCCAGGCCAATTTTCAGCTTTCAGCGCTATCACACTTTGAATGACAATTGCGCAGTCATGCAACACTGTACACATATGAATTTTTTAGCATTTTATTGAGACAGATAAAGCTTTATTTTGGTGGTATTTATTCACCACTGGGATTTTTATTTTTTTTTGCTATATAAATGAAAAAGTTCAAAATTTTTGAAAAAAAGTGTTTTTCTTATACAATTTTGCAAATAAATAATATTTCATCATAAATCTTGGCCAAAATGCATTCAGTTATCTTTTTAGTAAAAAAAAAATAACCCAAATTAGTTTATAACCAAAAATTATAATTTTTACCTTTTTCTTTTTACATTTTATTTTAATTTTTAATTTTATTATTTATGTTTTTTTTTTTTACATCCTGTCACCCTTGTGAGGGTGATGAAGATTTTTTTTTTTTTTGTTTACACTGATTGCCCATAACAGCTGTAAAAGCAATAATTTCTCCTTCTTTCTGGCTGCATTCTTGCAGCCATTGAGAAATAGCGTGTGAGCTGTGATTGGTCACAGCTTGTCACATGGTACAAGGCTGTTGTGAATAGCCCTGTACCATGTGAGCTCGGTGATCATTCACAGATTTCACACATAGTAAGCAATGATGTCAGAAGTGACATCTTGCTTACTACTCTGCATGTGATCACTGATTGGCCAATCAGTGATCACATGATCGGGACCTCGCACAGAGGTCCCGTACAACGGTCGGTGTTCTACTGTGTCTGGAGGACACAGCGGGCACCGGATCACGGTGCTGCGTGCTCCCAGGGAGCACGCACAAGCAAGGGGTGGGGAGGCCGTTTATAAGCAGCCACCCAACCCTGCACTGCCACCATCCAGCCATTTATATACAAGGGCCGGACAGGAAGTGGTTAAAAAAGAGAGGAGAGTTTAGTTCCACACTAAAGTGGTTGTAAATCCTGACATACACCCAGTTAAGTGACTGGCCTCAGGTGATACACAGAGATTAAACAGGTCCTCCTACATAAGTTGTACCTGTTTATCTGCAGTCCTCTCTTCTCTACATCAGTTTAGTGCTGAACTTATAAAGCTTGTCTGAGAGTTCAGAAGGAAGGGGGCGGAGAGCTGAAGTTACACTCTGCAAAGCTTAGAAAGGATTGCTCTGACAGCTGATTGGAGAAAAGAGACACACCTCCCTTCACAAAGCTGAGCCAGCCAATCAGCTGCAGCTCCCTCTTGATACTTCATGCTCTGGACTGAGACAAGCACACACTATAGAGGGATATGCTTTGTTCATATTTCATGTCTCAGGTTTACAACCACTTTAGAGTAGAACTAAACCCTCCTTTTTTTTCAGCCAACGAAGCTGCCATCTTAGCCTCTGTTCTGCAGTTGCCATGGTGCTGCACATGTGATCAGTTAGGACACCAGACATTTGATGGTTTGACAGTTCGGTTGAGAGCACAAGTCAATATGACAGTTAGCATTCCCAGCAACTGTTTTTTGAAACTGTCAGATTGATGGGTTTAGTTCTGCTTTAAGTGCTAGGGTCACCCATGCAGTGCAAAGCAACAGGATCCCATCAACGCTGACACCACCAGTTGCTTAAACGCACCTTCTCTTCTTTCCACCATCGTTCTGTTGCCTGCAAGGAGAGGAAGCCCTGATTGAGGTTGAAGTCACAACCACTTGCCTGGAGTTTGCATGTTCTCCCTGTGCCTGTATGGGTTTCCTGCGGGTACTCCGGTTTCCTCCCACACCCAAAGATATGCTGGTAGGTAATTGGCTCCTGTCTAAATTGGCCCTAGTATGTGTATGTATGAATGTAAGTTAGGGACCTTAGATTGTACGCCCCTTGAGGGTTAGGGACTGATGTGAATGTACAAATATTATATGTAAGGTGCTGCGTAAATTGATGGCGCTATATAAGTACCTGAAATAAATGTCCTCTTTTTACGGCTTGCATAACTGCAGGAGAGATTCCATTCCTCTATGCATTTCTATAAGACGTGAGTTGTGACTTCCCAGAAAACAGCCCCTGCGGAGCCCCCCATCCAATGTTTCCCCCATCAGAGGAGTTGCAGGAAGATGAAGATGTATGGAGGTGACATGATCCCCCCATCCAGTCCACACACAGTGCTGGGACCCCCTTTTCTCATAATAAGAAGACATTATTACCTTCTCCTCACTGAGCACTCTCCAGCCCTGCAGCCATGACCCTATTGGAGCTTCTCAGTGTCCTCTTCTTTAGGCTACAAGAAAATGGATGCCTTTCCCTTTGCTAAAAATAAAATGTACCCTTACTCGTTTCCTATCTCTTCAGAATCACATAAAACTCACTACTGATACAAGCCATATTTTCTTTTGGTGATATCAGTAGCCACTGTGTTTGATTTCTTCAGGGAAGCGCTACAGGAAAATGGCCGCAGCTCTCCTGAGGAAAAGGCTAATAAAGGTTGCCCTCTAGTGTTAGCTGAAGTAGAATCCCGCCCAGCAGGGCAGCTGTGGAGGCGTTTCCCGGCTGCTCCTGGTTGCTATGGTGACGCGCGCGCGCAGATTAAATGATCAATCTACAATGTTATGCTCGGTAGCCATTTTATTGTAGTTCAGAAGGAAGACCAATTAAATTACATTGTTATTATTTTCCTTTATGACCAGCAACTGCTGGGGGCTGCGAAGCTGGAGATTGTGTGCCCAGGGAGGAGGTAATAATGTCTTCTTATTAGGAGAGAAGGGGGGTCCCAGCACTGTGTGTGGACTGGATGGGGGGATCATGTCACCTCCACACATCCTCATCTTCCTGCAACTCCTCTGATGGGGAGAACATTGGAATAATACCTGGAAAAGAAACAAGACATGCTGCATTTTAGGAATATATATATATATATATATGCTATTTTGTTTCTAAAAATTTCTAGAATTTTACTAATTCTAATGCAGGATCTGGTATTCCCTTTGTGGGAGCATTTAAATATATATATTTATTAATTCATTTATTTTTTCACCTAAGAAAATAAAAATATATATATATAGTTTATATATATATATATATAATACATTTTTAGCTGTATTTTACTCATTCCAATGCAGGCTCTATGCAGCAGCTGGTATAGCTGGTATTTCTTTTGTGGGGGCATTTAAATTTTAATTTTTATATGTATATATATATATATATATATATGTGTATATATACATTTTTTTCACCGAAAAGTTTTTTTTTTTTTTTGATAGATAGATAGATAAACATGGAGAAGAGGAAGAGCAGCAAAGAATTGTTTGAGGATTGGAGAACAAAAATTGTGGAGACGCATGGACAATCTAAGGGCTACAAGACTCTCCGGAGATCTTAATGTTCCTGTGTCCACTCTGCACAACATTGTCAAGAAGTTTACAGCCCATGGCACTGTAGCTAATCTCCCTGGATGTGAACAAAAGAGAAAAAAAACTGATCAAAGATTGCAACAAAGGATTAGTTGAATGGTGGATAAAGAACGACGATCGACTTCCAGACAAATTCAAGCTGACTTTCATGCACAGGGTACAACTATGTCAGCTTGCACTATACATCGCCATCTGAATGAAAAGGGACGCTATGGTAGGAGACCCAGGAGGACCCCACTGCTGACACAGAAGCATAAAAAAGCTGGATTGAAGTTTGCCAGAAGTTACCCGAGGAAGCAAACATTTTTTTGGGGGAGAATGTGCTGTGGGCAGACTAAACAAAATGGCAGCTTTTTGGTAAAGCCCATCATTCTACTGTTTTCAGAAAAAGCAATGAGGCCTTTAAAGAAAAGAATCCAGTCCCTACAGTCACACATGGTGGGGGGTCACTGATATTTTGGGGTTGTTTTGGTGCTTCATTTTTAGCTGTGATTTTTATTAATTCCAGTGTGAGCTCTATGGAGAAGCCGGTATTGACAGTATGAAGTGGAAGCATTTAAAAGGACGCAAGGATCTGTAGAAGGACGTCACAATGGAGAACCGGCCGCCCCTCACATCTCCGGGTAAGAGGATACTTTATTTTCTTGTATTGAGGATCCACCTAGATACACACATCCTCTGATAGAAAGACATAGAAAGAATGTATTCAGTCAGTGTGTGTGTTTCCTACAGATGGATCCAGTAATGGGAACCCATCAGAGAGATGTCCCCGTCCTCTGTATTCCTTGGACTCCGCACAGGAACATCAGAAGTTCCCTCAGGATGATCAGGTAGATGGGATCCGGTTCTTTCCCATTTGTTACATAATGTAAATCTGCTCTGTATTTTCTGTACAGATCTTTACTGATATGTTTAACCTCAATGTACTGTAGTGTTTGTATCTTTGTTATTTAGGATGAAAACCTGATTTATGTAAAAGTTGAGGTTAAAGATGAAGAAGATGAAGAGTTGTATGTGAAGGAGGATGGTCTGAGTCAGGAGGAGGAGATCCCTCCAGAGATCAGCACAGGTTCGTGAACACTAAATCCAGGGAAGAGTCCCAGATCCTCCTTGTTCAGTCACTACAACAATCTCTTCTTCTCCCCCCTCCTCTGTCAGTAGACAGTAATGGGGGGACAGTATTGCCCAGTGGGGGGGGGGGTCAGGAGCCATCAGCCTCTGTAAGACTCCAGCTCTTTTTCTCCCACCTCCACTGTTAGTAGACAGTAATAAGGGGACAGTATGTGCCCAGTGGGGGGGTCAGGAACCATCAGCCTCATTAGACTCCAGCTCTCCTCCTCACATCATGTCATTGAGACGTGACCAGTCTCCCCCCACACACACTCTTTGGGGTCTCTCATACATCCACAGAATATAACTGGATATAACATTTATAGGGAAAGTTTATCCAGGTAATATCCGATTGCCTCTCAGGGGATCAGGAAGGAATTGTTTCCCCTGCAGGAGCAAATTGGATCATGCTTTCTTGTTTTTTTTGCCTTCCTCTGGATCAACTGTGGGTATAGGATTATAACTTTTTCTTTTTTTTTTATGGTTGAACTGGATGGACTTTTGTCTTTTTTAAGCCAGACTAACTATGTAAGTTATTTGCAATGTTCTAAATATGTTCTGTATATAGTAGTCCAAATTTCCTTATGTCCCATCTCAGGGAACAAAGATTCCAGGGTGGGAATGTAGTTCCTGAGTTCATGTACCAGTACCAGTACAGGGGGCTTCACTGTCATCTTTATTCACAGACCCCAGAGTCACTCGAGACACTCAGACAGATGTCAAAGCTGAGGAGGAGGAAATTGGAAGTGTAGGGATTAAAGAAGAGGAAACTCCCACAGAGACTGGCACAGGTGAGAATGCAATAGTAAATATAGAATGAACGCAGACATTTTCACACAATTCTTTTTCCGGAAACATCCAAAATAAGAATATTCAAACATCCAACCTAAAATAGAGACTTCTTTAATGTTCATGTTTGAAAGATCAATGATTTTGGAGGACAATAAATGGCTGGCATAAGTGTAATTTCTGTCTACTGCCTCTTTCCTCTACTATCTGCATGATGAGTCACCTCTGACAAGTTTTCCTGACACCATAAGAAAAAAGGTTTGTGATTGACAGCCTCAGCTCTGTTTCTCTGTGCTGTGTGAAGGAGGGAGTGTCCCTTCCCTCCAATCAGCTCTCAGAGCTTCCCTCACTGGGATCTGCAGAGTGTAACTTTAGCTCCCTGTTCCCTGCTTTCTGAAAGCTCAGACAAACTGTATAAATCCTAGACTTTGAATGGCTGTAGAGAAGAGAGGGCTACAAATAAACAGGTACAACTTATGTAGAAGGATTTGCTTAATCTCTGTGTATCACCTGAGGCCAGTCACTTGACTGGGTAAATGTAAGGGTTTACAACAAATTTAGGAACCTGTTGGAGCTAGCCATAAACATATATTTGGTATCATGGTGGTGGGTTTTAATTAGTTTTTAAAAATCTGGCTGCTCAGGTGAACGTTCCCAGCGCTGTGACTGGTCACTGTTTACAATCATTTGCTGGCAGGATGGTCTTTCAATCACATGATCACTTTGACAGCCAATTACAGTGATCACCTAATTGAGAATCTCAGGAAATGCCTCCTGTGATGAACGTGGTGCTCGACCCCTGCCCTTCTCACCAACACATGACAAAGGACCAGCCAATCTCACACCCCACTGTCACTTATGTAACAATGCCACTCTCATCTACACCCTGCACAAAGATTTTCCAGCTCGCGGGACTGCAATCTAGGTGCCAGCAGCCTGAGAGCGATTGTCCCTGAGTTTAGTTAATTAAGTAATTAACTCTTTAAGCTACCACCACCACCGTTTGATTGAGAAGGCAGAAACTTATCATAGAAATAACAAATATGTACACACAATGTCACCACAGGCAGGTGTAGTCAGAGATTTGTTGCATACAGTAGCACTCTTTAAGAGACAGGGATTCTTTAGTTTGCATTAAAAGCTTTAGGGACAGTATTCACACTTTTCAAAATAGGGTTTAATCATGTAAAGGTCAAATTGGAGTTGAAAAGGAAGAATACTTGCAAAGTCCTTGGTTTTAGCAGACTCCAATTGTCTAATCAAAAATGGTGCAATGGCTCTCAAGTCTGGTTTGGTGTTCCTTGTTTAATGTTAAAACGAGAGCTGTCAGAGGGTCGTGACACTTTTCTGTTGTATCAAAGGGGTGTTGACAGAGACCATCTGACCAATTACCTGGTTTAAGGGGTGGATGTTGGGAGGTCACCACGTTTTATGACTGTATCGTAGCGCTCCCTTACACACAGTTTTATACTAATACGAATATCAATATGAATAACTTCCATTATGTACAGGTTGCATTCAGGACACACAGAAGTGTCCGGGAAGTGTTGGTCGATAGAAACAAATATCCTGCCAGACCTCAGTTTACAGCTCTGCCCCAGGCCTGTGTGCTGGTGTCTGCTGTCCCTAAGTTGAGATAACAGGCTCTTTTGACGTGTTAAAAGTTAAAGCTATGAATTCCATACTTTGCAGGAGGAGGGAGGGGGTAATATCAGTGGGCTCATGAAAAACAAAATAGCTGAGACCTTAACAAGATGGCTGTCACCTACAGCTTCTGTGTGCCTATTGTGCACAACCATTACACCTCCGGTGTTAGAAATCCTGTGAAAGACCAGCAGTATTCAGAGGTAAAGGGTTATACTGGGACTTCTTTATTGCTCACAACTCTGTTTACCTTTTATTTTATCCAGATGGACAATACAAGAGTAAAAACTTAGAAAATCTTCCTACTCTGGATGGTGAAATAGAAGATGACATAATTTATGATTCTCTAGAAGAAAACCCTGTTGCCCCAAATCTTTACCAAGTACATCACAGGGAAGGCCCACAAACTGATACCACTACGCAAGTGGAGAGTGTTCCTCATCCCCATCTTGTCATCCACCTTACTGCTCATAGGGAGAGTGAAACGTTTCTAAGTTCTGAATGCGGTAAATATTTTTCTCAGAGAGCAGACCTCACCTCCCACCAGCAAGGACATGAAGGAGAGAAGCCCTATTCCTGCTTTGAATGCAGCAAGTGTTTTTCTCAAAAAAACAGCAACTCATTAGACACCAGAAAATTCACTCAGCCGAGAAGCCGTTTTCATGTTCAGAATGTGGGAAATGTTTTTCTCAGAGGGCTCATCTCAACTCACATCAGATGACTCACTCAGGAGAGAAGCCATTTTCATGTCCTGAATGCGGACAGTATTTTTCTCAAAAACAACATCTCATTAGACACCACCGAACTCACACTGGAGAAAAGCCATTTTCTTGTTCGGAATGTGAAAAATGTTTTCCCAAGAGAGACCACCTTATCTCCCATCAGATGACTCACACTGGGGAGAAGCCATATTCCTGTTCAGAATGTGGGAAAAGTTTCGCTCAGAGAGCGGTTCTTGCCAGACACCATAAAATGCATACAGGAGAGAAGCCGTTTTTATGTACAGAATGTGGGAAATGTTTCCCTCAGAGAGCCCATCTTATCTCTCATCAGATGACCCACACCGGGGAGAAGCCTTATCTGTGTTCAGATTGCGGGAGATGTTTTACTCAAAGTTCAGTTCTAGTCAGACATCAGACAACTCACTCAGGGTCAAACCAGCTTTGTTCTCCTGATTGTGGTGGTGGTTACCAAAGACGCAGCTCTTGTCCCATGTCTAACAATTCACCTAGGTGACATCACATAATTCTGTTTTTTGAGTGTTGGAAAAGTTTTTAAGAAATCAGGTTGCCTATAATCCAGAACACACTGGAGTTGAACCACATTTATGTTCAAAACATGGAGAACTGTCTTGATAGAAATTCTTACATCTTCTCAAATGAGGCTCATGTGTAAAGACTTGGCAGCTACGTAAAAAGATGTGCACCCCAGCTTCTTGTATAAAAGTGCCAATTCCTGACGCTATCTGAAATGTCTTTGGCGAGTAGAATGACCCTGTTGTGTCTTGGATTACAGCAGTTAGGTGATCAGCTTCCTAAGACCTCTGACAGCTGCTAGTTATAACATTAAAGCGTACTGTCACCCAATAAAGCAACTGATTTGCACCTGTCTCCTTCCCCTTCCTTCTTCTCCCATTAAATTGAAAAAAAAATTTGTAGGGTTTCTGTTACTTTTCGTGCTGTGCTTCCTTCTCTTTTGCCTCAGTTAGATTGACGTTGCACTTCCCGGACACTGGTGCTTGTTCACCACCGGTTTCCTGGTGCAGTTGTGTCACAGGGCTTCTGGACCCATCAGAGGCACAACTACTTACGAGTTTCCAGAGCATGCATGAAGATGACACAAGTATGAGGACCCAGATCTTAGGTTATCTGCACATGTGTGGGAAAAAAATTAGGGGGGTTCATCTTTAAAGTGATCCTGTTAGTAGCTTAAAAAATCTTACACCAGCCCCCTGCAATAGTAGAGCTGTTATATAACCAAACCACAGCCACTGGCCAAAGCCAAGCGGAAGAGATAACAGAAAGGATCCAGATCCCACGCACTCAAATGAAGATGGCGACACCTACTACTGTGTTTTGATGAATTGCTTGGCTTACTTTCTCGGCATTTGAAGTGACAGGACAACTTGTTTCACAGTAATATTCCATTTTTGGAAAGGCTAATAAATCACACTGCTTGGTGATCATGCTGTGGTAAAATACATTAGAAGAGAATTCAAGAATGTGTCTACCTGAATGCAGTCCTGAATCTGGCTTCTTTTGATAAGATTTTATAAGAGAAACTTAAAAGAAACCCCAAATGAAACAGTTCAAGTTGTCAAGCAAGAATTTCCTGAGTGGGATTTACTTTTGGAGGATATATCCCACCTTTAAGCTTGTTTGACTCTTCAGCCCTATCAGCTAACAGTCCATTCCATTTGGTAAGTGCGGGCCATATTGGAAGGCACGGATGGTGTGGGCACGTTGGAGTTTTCTTAAGCACTGTTTTTTTGATTGGAGCACAATTTTTCACTATTGATTTGAGACACTGGACTTTTATTTATATAAAAAAAAAAAATATGTTTTACATATTCACATATATTTATTTCACTGATGAAATTTATTATGTATTATTTCATTAATTTTTGTGCTGCTGTGGTTTAGTTTTATTATTGATGTTTCTTTCATCTATGAGCAGCAGCACTTATTAATTTATTAGGTTTAGGCACGGGTTTATTTTGTATCATAGTACAGCTGTTATGCTCATCTTTTTGGTGACCTGTGTCTTCTGCCTCCCCTCTGTTCAAGCTCTGCATTCTCCCTCAGACTCTTCAATGAATGTTTTACACTACTGCTTGTGTCCCTTGCCAAAATGTTGTCCTTTCTCTGACTGTATGTTGCTGCTGTGACCTGAAGTGATTTAGGGGGTCACAGAAAAGAACCACAGTATACAGTAAGGGACAGAGGCATATGACACTTCTGAAAATTTTCAATACTGAAGAGTCCATTTCAGGTTGCAGCACTTGAAAGGATTGGAGACATGGGCCACCAGAGAGGCGAGTATAGTTTTTCTATTGCAGGGACCTGTCAGGTATATTTTTTGGTGACTGTCAGGGCTGTTTTCATTACAATAAATTAAAAAACACAGATGTGAGAATGAACTAGACCCACTGACCTCATTCAGGTCTTTCTGGGTAAAAGCATGAAGACTCTCCAAAGAGGAAATTGTACATTCTTATCATGCTTCCTTTTTGACATCCTTGTAGGGAGAGGGACAGATCACATTCTTAGGCATGAATGTATTGAATCCAAGATAGGAAGGCGAGCACCCGACATATTTCCTTGGTAAAACATAGCTTTTAATAGCACAAAACCCTTAAAATTGCAGCAAGAAAAGCTTACATGTGTTGGCTGAAACATTTAAGTTTCTCTTGCTGCAATTTTACTGAATTTGATAATAAAAGTTATGTTTTAGCAAGGACATTTGTCAGGTGTCCACCTTCGTACCTTGGATTAGTATCACTTGTTGGGGATTAGCACCCTGAGCTGCAACACCGACTTCTACACCTACCTTGTGCCTGGCTTCGTAGGTGGAGTGTGGCTTTGGGAAAGAATGTACAGGCGTACCTCGGTTTACGAATGCCTCGGTTGAAGTAATTTTCGGTTTACGAATGAAAATCCATTGAAATGAATGGCTCGGTTTACAAATTTTTTACAAATTTTTTTTCGCAATACAAACAGATTAATTGGTTTTCAGTGCATTTACAAATAGTTTTTTTAATCATGCCCATGTACAGTACTATGCCTTTATAAAGAGTTTTGAACAGATAAGACTTTTTTTTTTACTTTTTTCTGACCTCCGAAACGGATTAATTGGTTTTCAATGCATTTACGTTTTTTTTCTTTTTATCATGCCCCTGTACATTATTTATGCCTTTAAAGTGCACTTCATAAAGATTTTTGAACAGATAAGACTTTTTTGGACTTTTTTGTGACCTCCGGAATGGATTAATTGGCTTTCAATGCATTCCAATGGGAAACCGCGTTTCGGTTTACAAATTTTTCGTAATCCGAAAAGTCCCGCAGAACGAATTAAATTCATAATTAAATACAGGTACACCTGTATTTAAGGTTGAACCAAGAGCAAAACCTTTTTTTTTTCATTTTGGACAGCGTAATGGAGAGATAAAACCCATGTTAGTTTTTTCTTTCTATCTGTGTCCCACTAGGAATAATTTTATAAATATCAAGTGCCATTCGTTAAACCCACTTGTACATAAAAAAAACATATGCCATGTCTCCTACCATTCTGTGCTTATCTTGCCTTCATATCATTGCCATTTGAATATCTCTCACTGTTTGGTTGATATTCTTCTACGCATTTTTTAGAACAACAGTTTGCTTCATTGAGAGGAGCAAAAGGAGGTAAATGTTAGAATAGCATGGTACTGTAGCACAATATATACAAATTACAATAGGATTCTCTCATATGGTATCTCCACAGTGCAAGAAAAAGGGACCCTAAAGAATACCCCAAGATAGTGGCCAATATTGGACCCCAGAAGTACCAGTTTAGTTAGTCCCAGTTAATATAATATCCTTTCCTGGGGCATCTGTCACAAGTTAGCCTGCAGTTTCTTGTTTGTGTATTCTTACCTCCTTGCTGCAGTGCTGTTCCTGATCCCTTTCACATGTGTTTGTGCTCACCTATGGGCGTCGTCTGCTGTTCTCTGGGTTTTATTTACTTCCCTTTCATCACTTCCTGGCCCGCCTCCTTGTTTGCCTGCCTATATAAGACATGCTCAGACTAGGCCACTTTGCCTGAGCAACTTCATAGTTGTATGAGCTCCTACGTGTTGCTATTGACTGTATCCTGCATTGACTACTTGTGTACTGACCCCGGCTTCGTTCTCTGACTGTGCTTGGTTTCCGCCTGTCCTGACCTCGGCTAGTCTATCGGATTCCGTTTGTCTCCTCCCATTGTACTCTGCTCCCGCAAGCAGTCTCATCCTCAGCTGGGCGTACCTGGGGGCCGCAACCTGGTCCCAGCTTGCTGCAAGTCCATCCCCACCATCAGGGGCTCTGGTGAAGAAACAGGCTGGGGCTTAGACTCCACGCCCTGAGGAACCCCAAGCCGACTATCTACAAGGGCTCACTAACACAGGTGCTGACAGCATCATGTCTGCATATAGTGGGTTAAAGGTCTGCTCTTTAACCCCAAAGGTCTATGAGATATAAGATTGTTTCCCTCATCACCCACATTCTATTTCCTGTCCTCAGTATTGCAATTTGTTTTGTATTACACATGCTGTTTTCACCCTTACCTACTGATGTTCCTGTGACCAGCCAGCCAGGTTCTATCTCTCCTGGATTGAAGTCCCTGCTTTAGTCTACATGAGACACACAGTAGGGAGTTCTGTTCTCTGTGCCTCGGAACACGTTTTATGGCTACTATTCATCATAATGTCTCTTCTTTCTGTTTTCTCCTTGCCTTCTTTCTCCCTTTTACAAGATGGCCACCGCCATGCTGGAGGTTTTTGCGCATGTGCGAGAGGTTGGCACTAACCCTGTGGCTAGCCCAGCCTGTAGATTTCTTGCAAGTTTCTAAGATGGAAGCCATATCTCCCAGTGCTTCTGAGCATGTTCAAGGGGCCACAAGGTAGGGGCTAAATTTTGCAGCAATTTTGCACAGTGGGGGTTTTAAAGATGGCCCCTGTTGTGGCTGACCTTCTCCCCCTGAGTCGTAAGTTACTTTGCAGCCATGCTGCTGACTGAACCTTGCTTTTTTGTGTCCCTGCACACTTCTGAGTACATGCTGCCCTGTCCTTGCAGCTCTATATTTATTTTCATTGATAGGGTAACCTTTTTTTCCTATCCACTGTCTTTCAGAGCATCCTGTCTGCAATATGACAGACAGTGCTGCCTCAAAAGACACAGCATCC